CTGGGATAAAAGGACAGCAGCAGGATGGAGAACCATAGTAAATGGAGGGACAGTCTTGCAGCTCAGGCTCCTTGTCTAAAGAGGAAGCAGCTATTGGGGTCCACCATCAAAAAGGGAAATAAGGGCAGCGCCTATGGCTCAGTGGGTAGGGCACCAGCCCCATATACTGAGGGTGGCAGGTTCAAACTGGCCTCTGCCAAATTGCAACAAAAAAATAGCCAGGGCTCGGCACCTGTGGCTCAAGCAGCTAAGGCGCCAGCCACATATACACCTGAGCTGGCAGGTTCGAATCCAGCCCAGGCTCGCCAAACAACAATGATGGCTGCAACCAAAAAATAGCTGGGTATTGTAGCAGGCGCCTGTAGTCCCAGCTACTTGGGAGGCGGAGGCAGGAGACTCACTTGAGCCCAGGAGTTGGAGGTTGCTGTGAATTGTGATGCCACAGCACTCTACCCAGGGGGATAGCTTGAGGCTCTGTCTTAAAAAAAAAAAAAAAAAAAAAACAGATTCAGACGTGTAGTTCTCTTAAACTAGGAAGTTGGAACAATGACTAGAAGGATTTCAGTAAAAGACACGTGCAAAAAAAAAAAAAATCTGTGTTTAGTCACAAGTTAAGTTTGTATACTATTTCAAATTATCTGAATAAAAAAAAAGAAGAGAGTTAAGTGCCAGGCCAAAATAATTTCCAAGAAATTAATCTGAATCTTTATATATCAGTTGTTTTAATGTTATCCCACAGTATAATACCAAGGTTAATAATTGATCATTTTTCATTAAACGTGTCAATATAAACGAAAAAATATGAACTATCATGTAATCAAAGTAAGTAAAGAGAGAAGAAGGAAAAAAAGTAATTTTCTTGTTAACTTGATTTTCTACGTCGTGATGATGTTCGCGGTTCTGTGTTTGTCTGTCTCCAGTCACATTATTTTTGGAGTTTTGGAAACAGAGACAAGCCCGACTGGAATACGAGTGGGACCTGGTGGACTTTGAAGAGGAACAGCAGCAGCTTCAGCTGAGACCCGAATTTGAAGCTATGTGTAAACAAAGGAAAATTAACCCAGTGACTAAGGTAGATTCTGAAACTGAAATGAGCGGCACGACCCCGGACACACTGCCATAGGTTGCCTCTTAAATTATACTTCACTATTCTTTCCAAGTATTGGCCAAAATATAAACCATGTAAACTTCTTTACTTGTTTCTGATATGTACATTCTTATGTGTGTGTGTGTGTGTGTGAACATTTTCAAACAGATACAAAAGTAGGTAGTAAAGTACAATGAACCCCATGAATGTGCCTAATTACCGATCTTCAATCATTTTTAAATTTGTGAACGATCTGACTTCCTTTATACTCCTAATTCCCTTGTGCTACTAGAGTATTTTGAAGCAAATCAAAGGCAACATAAAATGAAATATATAGGTTTAATAATCAGTGAGGAAGAATGGAAAATGGTGTGCATGCTGTGGGCTTGCTAGACAGACATGGAAATAAAACTGTTAATGTGAAAAAATTAAAATAGTAAATAGAGTAAAATGTAAGTCTTCTGAGTATTTGATTAGACCAAATTCTTTTTTTTAATTTATATATATATATTTTTATTAAATGATAGCTATGTACATGAATGCAATCATGGGGTACAGTGTGGTGTTTTCATATACAATTTGAAATATTTTCATCAAACTGGTTAACAAAGCCTTCATGTCCTTTTCTTATTTATTGTGTTAAGACGTTTATATTCTACTCTTAGAAAGATTCACTTGTACCCTTGTAAGATAAACCATAGAAGTGATCCCTCCAATCCCCCTCCCTCCACCCATCCCCATATTCTTAGGCTATAATTAGGTTATAGCTTTCATATGAAAGCTATAAATTAGTTTCATAATAGGGCTGTTAGACCAAATTCTTAACTGAGAAAATGGTCACATGTTCTTGTCTGAGTCATCTGATATCTTGTTACCTCATTTTTTTTTCACGTGATCATGGATGTTACTTTATCTTCACACATCAGAATCTTGGCTACATATTTTTAGAGCCCCTATTTTTCCATAATCTATAATTGCTGTATTGCCTACAGCTATTTAAAGAAGAATAGATCGGGCAGTGCCTGTGGCTCAAAGGAGTAGGGCACTGATCTCATATGCTGGGGGTGGTGGGTTCAAGCAGAGCCTTGGCCAAAAACAAAAACAAACAAACAAAAAAAAAACAATAAAGGGGAATAGAGTTCATCTTATACTCTCTTCGGTATAATTTCCTACACTGTTGAAGACATAATTTTTGCAGTACAACCCTCAAAATTCTTTCCACAGTTTAAACATACACTAAATGTTTATTATACTGCATTAAAAGATTACAAAAATATAGTAACTGAACAAAAGAGAAAAAACAGAAAATACGTTGACAATTTGGGTGGCAGTTTGAAATTAAGAAACTATATGAAAAGATATTGACAGAATAATGACATAATGTTTATTCCTATTTCATGAGATAAAAAGGAAAACAAAAGCAGCTCTATTGGCTTTGCCAAAAATTGACAGAAAAAAAAATCTCTATATATCGAATGCTTACCTCTGAAAGCAGAAAAGCACTATGTATTGATTTCCTGTGAATCACCTCCTTCACTTAGCTGTAAGGGTTTTAAAATCAAGGGACAGACTTTTTTGTAGTGCTTCCTCAGTGTCACAGCACAGCTCTCTGTTTTGGGAACACAGGTGCATGCATACCCCCAAGAAATATGCAGATGCATGCACGAGCACACACACGCCTTGAGTGGACACACCTGCACACAGTCACATAGTGGCACTCACGCATGAAAATCTTGAAGTTCCATTGAACTCTCAGACAGCCCATTCTATGCACTGGGAGTTCTGATTATAGTCAGAACACCCTGCAAGTCTATAAAATACAAAGTGTTATGTAAAGAAATTACGTGATTTGGATCTCTGCTGACAACTACTTTTTACTTCTTTTGGGTAAAATCGACCTACCTCCTCATGTACCTAAGAGTGTCAACTGATATAATTAATATCTTCCATTAATAACTTTTAAATCTTGAAGGCAAAAACGTTGGGCTCCTAAGCGATGTGGAAAAACAAAGTTTATCCTATAAACATAAAGAACACATCCAATTTGATTCTAATGCAGAGCAATTAGAGAGCAATGCAATTCGATTCACTCAGAATAAAATCCTACCATCATTTATGCATCAGCCCTCATAATAGTCAGGAAACAATATGTATCCATTACATTTCATGTTATGTACGAGATACCTTAGCTAGGAGGCCTGAAGGTTTCTACTTCAAAAGAAAGAACCATTGCTGGAAGGCAGCTTTCCATGAGTAATAATGGGCCTTCGGGGAAGGTTGCTACATAGTTATGGGCTCTATAATTTGGATTGCTGCTTGGAGTCCCAACTTTGAAAGTAGATTTAAATTTTTTCATTTATTTTTTTCAATATTACAGGAGCTGGAACCCCACATGCCCCTACGGTCCCGTATTCCATGGTTCCTGTGCTCAATAGCCACAGTAGTGTTATGGGTGAGCATGTCTTTAACCTCTGTTCTCTCTTTAACAGGCAATTAGGATGATCTCAACAGTTTCACCTGCCATGGCTCTTGACTCTTTCTCTCTCACCACCCTGGTCTTTATCTTGGTTACTTCTCTTACATAAAATAGACTATAATTTACATGAAATTTTCCGTACTGAACTCTGGCAAAAGACCTAGAGGAGGAGAGGAGTGCTTTGTTTGAGAGCCTGTCCCTCTGTGCCTCACAACATCTCATTAAGTGACCACTTGAAATAGTAACAGAATAGCAAATTTACTTGGATGACAGACTCCTTGGTCAGTTTCAGAAAATTGTTCATCTCTGTCTCCACTTAAAATACCTGCACAAAATGAATTAATCCCCCCCCCTTCAACTTTAGTTCATACTGTTACTGAGATAAACAAGAAACTGTTTCTGCTCCTACTTGAATAATTTAATTTAATTTTAAGGAGTACATCACATTGTGAGGGAGTCAGGTTTTCTAAATTCCTTTTAGCTAGTAGATTTCTCTACCTTTATAGTCTATTCCCTGCCTTCCCTTTTTCAAATGTGTGCCTTTAATTTTTGGAAAATTCATCTGACAGTTTAGAATATTGAAACACACATAATTAACAGTTATAGAATATAATTTAATATCACCAGGCCATAAATCCTATTCTTTATCTTTAATATTTTTGTTAAAGCTATTATTTTCCTATTTTAAAAGAGTTAGTAGAGGACCGGGTGCTGTCACTCATGCCTATAATCCTAGCACTCTGGGCCTGAGCTCTACTGAAAATAGAAAAATTACCCAAGTTTTGTGGTGGGCACCTGTAGCCCCAGCTACTGGGGCAGCTGAGGCAAGAGGATTGCTTGAACCCAGGAGCTTGAGGTTGCTGTGAGCTATGACACCACAGCACTCTATCCAAGGTGACAGAGTGGGACTCTGTCTCTAAATTAATTAATTAATAGAAATATGTTTTCTTAGATTATATAACCATCATTGAAGAGATGTGACAGAATAAAGGGGGGACAATAACCAATCAGGATGCTTTTTGAGAAACATTCTAGAGTATGGTCCCAGAAAGATTATTCTGTTTCCAATTTCTTGTTCTCATTCAATTTGACTCACTTCCTCAACTTTTAGAATAAAATTCTCTGATGAATGAAATAAAGCCATTTTTGTGCTTTTGCGATATTGGAAGAGTGCAAAATTGTATCCAGAACCTACATCAATATCTAAACTATCAGGTATTAGTGGCACATTAGACCAATAATCTTAACAGTCTGAGGAGAAATGAAATGTAATCGTCAATGTATTTTTCTTGGGCAAGTGGGTGATCTTCCTTCAACAGGCTTGACTACAGCTAAAAGCATGAGTCAGCAAACTGTTTCTCTAAAGGAGCCATATATATTTTAGGCTTTGTCTCCACACGTAGTCTTCAGCACAAAATTTTTTTGTATTTTTCTTTATAAGCTTTAAAAATGCAGAATAACAATCTTAACTTTAAGGGCTTTGTAAGGCGAGGCAAGGCCTTGGCCAGGATTTGGCCTGCTGCTGTCATTTTCCAATGCCTGCTAGAGGGTCAGCAAGGAATCTTTTGCTACTTTAGACTTGCCTGGTCCCGTGCACCTTATCTGTAACCCTTTTATTTTGCTGCCATCCATTTCCTGCCATCTATAGTAAAAGAGTCTGACTTGGTTTTCTTTGCACCCCAGGGCTGCTAAACTTACTAGAATGAGATGAACAGAATGATGAGCGTTTAGATGTGGATGCAGCTCAGAGATACAGAGACCCAAGTAACCAACCCTATGTTTCCCCTCCTCAGATGGCTCTCGTCCTCAGCAGCATGGTAGCTGTCATTGTGTACCGCCTGTCAGTCTTTGCGACATTTGCTAGCTTCATGGAAAAGGATGCATCCTTAAAGCAAGTCAAAAGTTTCGTCACTCCCCAGATAGCTACATCACTTACAGGATCATGCTTCAACTTTATCGTCATCTTGATCTTGAATTTCTTTTATGAAAAGATATCTGCCTGGATTACAAAAATGGGTAAGCTAGCCAAACCATTAGTATGACCCTGAAAAGGGGTTTCTACCAGTGCTAGTCCAAGCATTTCGGATCATCTCCTAGGGAGGTCATTTTCCAGGGATACATTTTGAGGCAGTTTGCTCAGTGGGTAGCCCCGTAACTTGATAGTCACATTCAGAAACTGAATTCCATTATAATGGAAGCAGGAACAAGATTTGTATGGGACTCTCTAGATCTTTGTGAGTATCCTTGCCTTAATCTTCCCTTGACAAGTCCAGTTGAATCCTAAGGAAAATGTTCACTCTACTCAAGACCCAATTTTTACAAGTGTTTTACAATTTTTATATAAGTTTTAAATACACTTACAATTTGTAAATATACACTTACAATTTTTCAAGTGTATGATTCTAGAAGGCAAGAAGCCATCGACGTGATAAACACAGCAATGAGTGCCTTTTAAGTAAATTAAACTTTAGCACTCTTCTTTTCAGCTGTTATCTCTTAAAACTTGAATGATTTTCTTGTTAATATATTACTATCCTCTAAATCTACGAGGGAAAGTGAAGGGGGTCATAGGGGAAGTAAAGATTCCGTCAGAGAGAGAAGTCTTCTTAGTGAAGAGCTGGAATGAGATCTAGAGATTCCACGTAGAGCGTCAGCCTCTTCCCTGAGCGCTTCCTCGGGAGTTGAGCTCCTCCTCTGAATCTGCACCCCGACATCCTCCATTGGCAAGCAAAAAGAGCACTGGGAAGTCACCTTCATGACATACTATCTTCAAGTTTGGAATTCCCGCTCTCAGTTTTACCTTTCTCTGCTAGCAGCAGCAAGAAAATGACAGTCGATAAACTGCTTTAAACGTCACAGCTCTCTTCGGTGAGAAAAATCACGGAAGGTTACTTTTTTTTTTACTAGAAATGCAGCTAAATTTTATTAAAATGGAGTCGTTATCTGTGTTTTTAGAGTAATTTGTGTTACTATCCCGTACTTCTGAAAATGTCATGGATTTGGCTGGTTCAGCTGGTGCTCTTGGGAAAACCTCAGCTCAGAAAAACATGTCTTGCCAGGGGGGTGGCTGATGCCTGGGAAGTGGAGGCAGGTGGATTGCTTGAGCTCAGGAGTTGGAAACCAGTTTACTAAAAATAAATGGGCGTCTTGGCAGGAGCCTGTGGTCCAGCTACCAGGAAGCCGGAGGCAAGAGGAACTCTTGAGCTTAAGACTTTGAGGTTGCTGCGCTGTGACACCACAGTGCTCTACACAGGGTGACACGGGAGACTCTCTCAAAAAGAAAGAGAGAAAAGGAAGGCAGGAAGGAAAACATGCTCCCTTACTATTTTTGTGCCTCACCATGCTCTATGCGAGGAGAATTTAGCCTTCCCTTGTCTTGGAATTTGTTGAATGACAGATGATGACCAGGAGAGGACAAAGGGGTACGATTTTTGCCAATGTTTGCTATCACATTGTTTTCAAAATTAATATAGCCATTTCATTCCTGAGAGAAATATAATGTGGTTGGAGAACATTCCCAGACTTGGCATGAGTTTGCTTTGTTTAAACCAGAGAGAGAGAGAGAAACAGAGAGAAAGAAATATATATATATATATATATATAGAGAGAGAGAGAGAGAGAGAGAGAGGTGTGCCTGGTCTTTGTTTATGAGATATCATATGTTTGGATGTACATAAGGCTCTCCTGTCTTATATGAGTTTAAATTTTATGTTCTGACTGTGTGACTCACCCAGACAAGTACTTTGTGCCTCTGAATGTGATGGTGACTCCTTCCTAGACATTTTCAATGGTTAGATAAATACAAAGTGTCTAACAGAAAGCCTTCTACAATTGATATGGGTCTGGTGTTAACTTGAGTGGGGAGCATTGCTGTAGGTTCTCAGAATGACTAGATGTCCACTTGTTCCAGGGAGTACAAGTTCATGGAGAAACTGGAAGTTGCATTAAACCTTGGTGTTTTTTATTTACCAGAAATTCCTCGAACTTACCAGGAGTACGAAAGCAGTCTTACCTTGAAAATGTTCCTATTTCAATTTGTAAATTATTACTCGTCCTGCTTCTACGTAGCTTTCTTTAAAGGGAAGTTCGTGGGCTATCCTGGAAAATACACATATATGTTTAATGTGTGGAGAAGTGAAGAGGTAAGAACTCCCTGGAGAGGTGAGGTCTGTAGCTTTGGGAACTCAGTCTGTTTTTTGGGGGGGAGGGGACTCAGTCTTGACTCAATGTCTTCTCTGAGCTCTAACTCAAATGTTGTCAAGTCATTAGAGATGTCTAGACACAAACTCCGTCCAGAGATGAGTCCTATAATTTGATAGAATTTCTAGTTCCTTTTGGGTGAGAAGTTACATGGGGCCTGTGGTTTGGAAGTAAAATAGGAGCTATAAAATGAGCTAAGCAAGTTCTTCATTCCTGAAAGCTTCCTGCAAAGGAAAAAATGATTATTTTCTGCGCATCCAACCAGATCAGTAGTTTCCTGGATATACATCCAGTCACATGGAGAATACACCAACTCCTAACTTTAACCAGGACAAAAGGCTCAGACTTTTCTGAGAATCAGACCCCCAGAAATGCAATCAGATCCATCTAGTGCAGCTAGCCTGACACTGTTCTTCGGTCATGTTTGGAAAGTAGGTTAAATATCTCTTTGATCCCTCAATGTCCCCTTCCAAACAAAATCTTGAGATTTTAATCTTGTTAGGGTTTCTTTCAGTTGTTGCTGCTTTCCATCTTTCATCATTTACTTCTTTTTCCTCCCCTCTTGTTTCTAACTAGTGTGATCCTGGTGGCTGTCTAATAGAATTGACAACCCAGTTGACCATCATAATGATTGGGAAACAGATTTGTGGAAACGTCAAAGAGGCCATTTATCCGTATGTATGGCTCACAAGCTTTTTATTTGGTTTAAGTTACCGTGAGAGATTTCTTATAGAATAAGAGGAAATGTTTTTCTTCTTATGGTATCTTTGTTAGAAAATGGTTAAGCAACAACAAAAATTGTCTTTCATCTACAATGAAAGATCCATTAAGGTAATACAGGCTTTTATTTGTACTACTGTCTTTTGGTTCCACAGCTAGCAAGGTTTTTTAGATCTAATTTTTAATTGATAGTTAATAACTGCATGTATTTAGGGGATACGTTGTGATGTTTTAAATATGGCCCTTTAAAATGCATCTTTGTGACATGAATGAAGTTGAGGGTAAATAGTTATTTCTTCTTCGAAGATTTTCACTGGGAAATCTAAAGATTATATCCTGTTTGTCCATTCTACATATTGTATATTATTTCCTAAGACTGCTAAACATTGATTTTGCAAAAGTATCCACATATGTGCTTGTTTCAGCAGTACATATACTAAATTTGAAACAATACAGAGAAGATTAGCATGGCCCTTGTGCAAGGATGACATGCAAGTTTGTGAAACATTTCATATTTTAAAAAAACTGGTTATAAACGAAATGCTGGAGAACTTTTAGGTCAATACATGACAAGATTGCTCTCTGATCCCAAACCAGAGCAATAATGAATACATTACAAAAAGAAAAAACAAAAATGATAGTTGATTTCAGATATTGATAAACATTTTCATGAATAAAATAAGATAATCATAAAATCATAAGCTTGTGATCTTGTAGGGCACTTAGTTAGAAATGACAGTGACAGGGTTTCATAACCACAAGTACAGTATAGAGCAGTCTAAAGGTGCTTTCCTTAAGACAGGGGACTGGCCAGTTTAACTTTACTTGAAGCCAAGGTCTGAGTTTATTTTTCTTATTCGTGAAAGAGGGATGAAAATAGCCTCCTCCTCAACATACAACTCCACAGTGCTTCCTAGGGTTCAATTTCATATGCTGCCAAAGGAAGAACATGGACTTATCCTTACAAATGGTAATAGGTTTGAGCCAAGCCTACTTCTAGTTCCATCACATTCCTAAGGGAAATAACTCCAGATCAGCGGTTCTCAACCTGTGGGTCATGACCCCTTTGGACTGCATTAAAGGGTTGCAGCATTAAAAAGGTTGAGAACCACTGCGAGTCTAGATTGAGAACCCAGAGGACAAAAAGCAAAACCGGAGCCTACCTACAAACCCCAATTCCAAAACATACGATGAGCTTCAATTCTACAAAAGCTGTTAACGAAATTACCTGTTAGAAAGTGAGCTTACTCTAGCTCATGATCTAGCCAGAAGATTCTGGGAAAGCCCATAAAATAGTATATTGACAATACTAACAACATAAGGGAGGTCATAATGTAATTTAAAAGGATCAAGCTATTAAAATTAACTGTTAGGACTCCCGGTTCTAAATTGTTGGCATAGATGTAGGCTGGCTTCTCCCCCCCACCCCCACCACCACCACCACCACCACGTGCAAACACACAAAGACAAATATAAGCACCAGGATCATCACCAGCTACAACCCAGAGTTCAGGTATGGTGATGAAACAGTTCTCAGGGCCACAGAGAGGTGGAGAAACTCCGAGAAGATGGTGAAAGTAATGGATTTCCACTTCATGATGTGCCTTTCCCATCTTTCCAAGTGTGAACCATGCAAAAAATCTCTCCTTAACTCATGATTTCTACATCGGAAAAAGGGAAATTGAGGTGGCCAACCAGTTTCCCCACCTTCCTGCTCCTTGGCAGGTGATTTAACCTTTTCCTTAAGGTACCTTAGTGAGTGCCTGAAGGGAAAAATATCCTGAAGGATAGGCAGAGACAAATGGAGAAAGCGGGACTCCCATCCCCAGCTTGGAAAGCCTGCCCTGTATCTCAGCAAAAGATGCCATATTAAAGTGGCTACAGGCCATATGTCCCCAAGGTGCCATAGGCATGAACCCTTAGCCACTACCTAGTTATCTCACAACAATGGAGTTCGGGGCCTCCCAATTTGGGACAGGCAGGTGTTCTGACCATTTACTAGAGCTGAAGTGAATCGGGGTTAAGGCGCCATCTAGAGCCAAAAGGGGGGCAGCAGTCTAACAGATTCACTAAGGCAGATGATACGTTCAGTAAAAACCAAAAGGAGCTGGACAGAGAGAAAACCGAAATAAATCACTAACCCTTAAATGCAAAGACATGGACATATACCCTCAAGAAAAGACAGCAAGCAAGAAACAATGACCTCCCCAAACGGACAAAACAAAATCCATGACAAACTTCAATGTGATGGTGATTCTTGAGCTCTGACCAAGAATTCCAAAGTGCAATTTTAAGGAAACTCAGTAATCTCTAAGATAACACAGGAAAGCACTTCACATATCTAACAGATAAATTTAAGAATTATGTTGAAATAATGTAAAAAATCAAACCTTGGAACTGAGGAGTATATTTGCTGAAATAAGAAATTCTTTGAATTTCTCTTTGAAACAGAGGAAACAATCAGTGAGCTTATAGATTGGCTCTTTGAAAATACACAGACTATAAAAAAGAAAAAAAATAATGAAAAGAAATGAAGACCACCCAGAAAACCACACTCAGAAGACCAAACGTAAGCATTACATGGTGAGGAGGGAGTTGAGCAAAAGCAAGGGGTAGAAAGCTTATTCAAAGAAAGAATAACAGAAAACTTTCCAAAACTTGGGAAACATATGAACACCCAGGTATAGGAAAGTCTTAGAACACCTAACAGATTAAACCCCAGTAAGGCAAGGTATTTAATTTTCAAACTCTCAAAGGTCAAGGATGAAAAGAAGATTCTAAAAGCAGCAAGAGGCAAGGAGCTTCAGTTCTGGCAAGGGACTTCTCAGAAGAAACCCTATAGAAGGGGAGTCAGTGGAATGACATCTCAAAGTACTCAAACACCCTACAACCCAAGAATATTATATCCTGAAAAACTGTCATTAAGTTTTGAAGCAGAGATAAAGTTCTCCACAGACAAAAGCTGAGAAAATCCATCTCCACCATACCCATCATGTAAGAAATGCTAAAGGGAGTTCTGAAGTCTGAAAGAAAAAACATTAACGTACAAAAGGGAAATTCTAAAAGTTGATAAAATTAAGTGTATGGACAAACCTATTACTGTGTTTCTGGTGTGCAACCTACCCATAACTTTAGTACAAAATCTAAAAGACAAATCTATCTAAAACAGTAATAGCTACTGCAACCCATTAAGAGAGAGGCTATTTTAAAATGTGTAAATTGAGATAACCAAGAGTTATGATGAAGGGGTGGAGTTAAAGTGTACAATTTTCGTTAGGTTTATTAGTTTCTGTTATTCTATTTGTGTCCTAGTACAAATTTTCATCTCTTTAAAATAAATTGTTACATATATAATTATTTTGGAAGCCTCATGGTTATCACAACACAAACATCTGTAATAGATTCACCAAAAATGAAAAGAAACAAATTAAAACATAGCAGAGATATTCACTTAACTACAAAGGAAGACAATAAGGAAAAAAAAAAAAAAAGGAAGAGAGAATTTTCATTGCAACCAGAAAACAAGCAGCAAAATGGCAGTAGTGAGTACTTATCAATAATAACAATGACTGTAAATGTTTTCAGTTTTCAGGAACAAGAGTAGTTGAATTGATAAACAAAGAAATCCCAGCTATATGCTATCCTTAAGAAGCTTACTTCATCTGTAGACATACTTAGATTGAAATGGAAGGAATGGAAAAAGATGTTCCATGCAAATGGAAACAAAAAACAAAAAACAGGAGCAGTTAGGCTCATATCAGATAAAATAGACTACAGATCAAAGACTAAAAAAAATAAGAAAAGTCACTATATAATGATAAAGCAGTAAATTCAGCATGAGGACATACTGCAATGTAGTAATAGTAGAGGACTTTAACACCCCACTCCTAGTAATGGATAATCATCCTAAGCAAAAATCAGTGGAGAAACAGTAGAGTTAGATATGATAGTCCTAACTGACATTTACAGAACATTTCACTCAGCTGCTACAGAATTCACATTCTTTTAATCAGCAAATAAAACATTTTTGATCATATGTTAGGTCTCAAAACAAGTCAATAAAAATTCAGAAAAAAATAAAAATTATATCAAATGTTTCTTCTACCACAGGGGAATAAAACTAGAAATTAATAACTAAAGGAAACTTGGAAAATACACAAACACAGGGAAAGTAAGCAATATGCTCCTCAACAACCGATGAATCAATAACAGAATTAAGAAACAAGTTTAAAAATTCCTTGAAACAAGTTTACAACATGGCAAAATCTATGGAATACAGCAAAATATGATGGCATCATTGCTGAATTATACCAAATAAGTATAGAAGACCAAATACCAAGCCTACACAAACTCTTCAAAAAGAATGAAGGGAATGTTTCCAAACTCATTCTACAAGGCCAGCATTACTGTGATACAAACCATGTAAGGGGAGCAACAAATAAAGAAAACTGCAGGCTGGTATCAGTGATGAACATGGATCTGAAAGTCTCCAGCAAAATGTTAGTAAACCTAATGCAACAACATATTAAAAAGATTATTCAGTGTAATCAAATGGAATTCACCCCAGGGATAAAAGAATGGCTCAACACACAAAATCCTTAAACATTATACAAAATATTGACAGAATAAAAAAAAAAAAAGCTGTGTGATTATTTAAACAGATGCCAATAAAGCATCTGATAAAATTCAGCATACCTCAAGTGGGAGCCTGTAGCTGAGTGGGTAGGGCACCAGCCACATACACTCAGGCTGGCAAGTTTAAATCCAGCCTTGGCCAGCTAAACAACAATGACAACTGCAACCAAAAAGTAGCTGGGTGTTGTGGTGGGTTCCTATAATCCACAGGGAGGCTGAAGCAAAAGAATCACTTGAGCCCAAGAGTTTGAGGTTGCTGTGAGCTGTGACACCATGGCACACTACCAAGGATGACATAGTGAGACTCTGTCTCAAAAAAAAAAAAAAAAAAAACCACCATCCCATTATGATAAAAACCTTCATCAACATGGGTATTAAAAAAACATACCTCAAAATAGTAAAAGCCATCTGTAACACTCACAACTAGCACCATCATGCTAAAACAGGGAAATATTAAAGGCTTTTCCTCTGAAGACTAGAACAAGATAAGGATGCCCACTTTCAATACTATTATTTAACATAATGCTGGAAGCCCTTCTCAGGGCAATTAGGCAAGAAAAGGAAATAGAGGGCATCAAAATAGAAAAGGAAGGAGTCAAATTAGCCTTGTTCACAGACAACATGACTTTATATTACAGAAACCTAAAGACTGCACCAAAAAAAAAAAATGGTCAGAACTGATAAATGAATTCAGAATAATTACAGCTGGGTACAACATGAACATAAAAAAGTAGCATTTATAAATGTATAGTAGACCACCAGCTGATAATCAGACAAAGAAATTAAGAGACCATTTGCAGTAGCTACACAAAATATAAAAGACCTAGGAGTCAATCTTACCAAAGAAGTAACAGATCTGTGCCAGGAAACTTTTAAAATTCTGA